ACTATCCTTTCAGTGCCTGTAGAATTAGTAGTAGTAACTCTCTTTCATTCTTAATATTAGTCTTTTATTTATATTTATATTATATTTTCCTCTTGACTTTTCTGCTGTATCACTTTGCATCATTTCATGTGACGTTGTTCTGGAGACCACAGTATACATACCTAACTTTCATAGAGTTAGTGTTGCATTACTTCATGTAAAATGTAGAAAACTTTCAGCTAGATAATACTATGATATTTGCTTTAAATATTCAGTCATTTTAAAGAATTTATGAGAAAAGTCTTTTATATTTACCCCTGTATATGAGCCTATCAAATGAATTTTTAATTTCAAATACTTTATTTTTAAGTTCTAATATTTCCAGGGTTTTTTTTTTAATGGTTCTAAATCTCTACTGAGAACTTCTGATTTTTCTCTCCATTTCAAATGTGTTTTCATTTATAGACTGTAGTTACAATGGCTTCCCAAAGGTCATTTCTTGTGGTTCCAGTATCTGATTATCGTGAGTTAGGTGTCAGTTTCTATTCACCTTTAGAATTGGTCACATTTTTGCATTTTATGTTTTGTTTGATTTGTTTTTGGGGTGAGAATGGGGATTTAACCCATAACCTTGAGGATGCTAAGCACACACTCTGCCAAAAGCAATAACCCTAGTCACATTTTCCTTATACTTTTTAAATTTTGAATAATGCCCTTGATACTATATTGTGAATGTTACATTGCATAGGCTCTAAGTCTCTGTTACATTCCTCTGGAGAATTTTCTACTGAAACAAAATCATTAACAATTATCTTGGCTAGGTAAGGCTATAAATTCTGCCTTTGATTGTCTTTAGCTTACAATCAGTCTTGTTACTTTTAAACCCAGGGAGTTATTTAAACATTTAATTTTCTGAGTAGGTGCAAGTTTGCCTCACATATTTGTAACTCATGGATTAGGCTGAGATATGTGCAGGTTTACATATGAAACCAGGTGAGTCTTTTCTCTGGCTCACAGATACTTCTTTTTCTTAGTTTCTCTGTTAAATAAGAATAAAGATATGGTTTCTGTTGGAGTTTTAATCACTAGAAGTGGTGCTCCTGTCTTGTATTGCTGCATAAGTAGAGCCTAAATTCAGGGCAGAACTGCAAGAGAAATGAGAAGGGCTGTGGAAGGACAAGGCCTCACACCCATATGTTGCCTTCTCAAGTTCCTGCTGCACTGTTGAACCCACCTACGTTTGCTTGAAGAACCTTCTAAGAATAACTTGTTAGTTCATCTTGAGTTTTAGTTGTAATTGGTGTGGATTGTGACCTTACTTTGCCATACCAGAACAAGAGCTACCGAAGATGGATTTTGAAGATGGATTTTCAGAATTTTAAGAATTACTATGCTATATCATTTGTCCTCTTCGAATAGTTTTCTAATGTAATGTTAATTGAGATAGGATCCATGAATCAGATGTATCTAGAACCTTTCAAATTCAACAGATTATTGCTATTTATTAGCAGTACACTTAATGTTTAATAACTCACAAAGTTATATTTTCTTGCTATCTTGAGAGAGACTAAAGGGTGAAAGAAGGGAAATTCTAAATATAACATAGAGAAATAATATACAGCCTGACTTGAAACTTGTCAGTCAATAAATACCGATATCTTTCTGGGATCCTGCTTTGTACACAAAAATGAAATCTACTAAACCATCCACACACCTGTAAAGCAGAGAAATTTCATTACCTCCAAAGATTCTAAACATGTAAGATTGAGTCCATCTTCAGAAATGTGTTTTACAAACCTGGTTTTCTATCATGAGTTATCAAGTGATGGCTCATTTTCCTTGTGATCATGACATCCCTTAATGGCTTACTTTGAAAAGTAACTCATGCATCCTCTACCAAGGCCCCTTGGCAGTAGCAACAGCATCATGAGTAATTACATATAAATATTCGAAACAATAATAGTAGCTCATGGAAGACTTATTTGGAGCCATATTTTGTGTTCTTATATTTGACAAACATTAACACTTAACCCCGCTAAGTTGTATTTTTTAAGTGAGTAAAATTAAATATGCCAGTGCCACACATGTGATAAGAGCATTTATTTTATACAGCTGAAATAAGAGTTGTAGTTCATGAGCCAACATGGATAGCTTCTTCCTAACAGATTAAGTGAAAGCTTGGTTTATTTATTCACTTATCACTCATTGTGTCTGGCAGCATATACTCTATCAATGGGAGCTTATGGTAGGCTGCTATACTTCAGAGCTGGGAAGTGAGTCAGAACTTTTAATTTTAAACTTAGACTTCTTGTAAGGCTTTCTATTGTGAGAATTGTTCTAATGAATAAAACCAATCTTAGCAAACTAGAAAAAAAACAGAAAATTGCACATTATTCAAGGGGTTCAAATATTATCACTCATGATTTCCACTAAAATATAAAATATTGTTTCTCTGATTATCAGACTTCCCTTAGGAATCACCATCACAAGTCAGCAGTTTCTATGTCAGTTGCTCAAAATATTTCCCATGTGACAAAGCCAGTCATATAAATTAGACTTCAACTTTTTGAAAGTCTTGAGTCATACTCAGTGTTCAGAGAGCCATTACAAAGATAAATATATCAAACTATATCAGTTGAAAATGAAACCAGTTGAAAATAATTGTAAAAGAAGCATAGAACAGACAATTTGCTTTCGTAAAGAACATTTCTGAGATAAAATAATATTTGTACATTCATTTAAATATTTGACTGCCTACTATAAGCAACGTACTCTTCTGGGCCCTGGGAATATAACTGGTAAAGCACAAATAGATCCTATCAGTTCTTGGATTCTCAAGAGCTTCACATCTGCAATTGTCACTTTCCCCTCCTGCATTGGTTTTGTTCTGTCATATTACATATATAGTTCCTCTTAGGAAAATAAATTCCTTTAACATGAAATGCTTCTCTAGTTGCCTTTCCAAAAAATTCCCTAAACCCTTTACAGAACATGTACTCAGAAGAGATATCTAAATTTATGATTCTATTTTATTATCTTTATACACATTCCAATCATGCTTTTGTACTCATCTCTTCACTGATATTACCCTTGTCAATGTCTCATTATACTACATTGCTAAATCCACTAACCACTTCATAGTCTTCATGCTTGCCCTCTCAGTGATAATTAATAGAGTTGATCATTTCTTCTCCTTGAGAAATTTTCCCTCCCTTAAGCTTTTAAGCCACCACTTCCCCACTCAACCCACACCACTAGTGTTCTAGGACCTAATCCTTCAATCCCCCTTTAAAACTCTTTCTACACTCTCTAGGTGAAAGCATTTTTCAATCCTATAGCCTCTACTACTATCTAAAAAGCTACAATTCATAGATGTCTCTTCTGACCTCTAAACTGCTATATCCAAATTTCTATTCAACATCTCTATTTAAATACCTACTGGAGATCTGAAACCCTATGTGTCCAGCACACAAATGCATGGGCCAAAAAAGAAAAGTCTAACAAATGGAAAAAACACTTTACTGATTTAGGAATTTCTCACATAAAAAACTAGTAATAATCCAAGAAGTAGTCAGTTCAGAACACACCCAGCAGTTTAACAGGAACCGGGCCTCTGATTTCTCGCTGCTCTTCCAACAGTAGTATCTTTCCTCTTGATGTAGGATGTACACTTGCACCCTCCATCCTGCCACATCCACATTAGCAAAAGGGACAATGTAATGATGCATCCTTTTCCTTTCAGAGACTCTCCATAGAAGTTCTAGGTAGTTTAATGTTTCATTGGCCAGAATGTAGACTGTGGAAGGCTGGAAAGCATAGCATTTAATATTCAGCTAAAATAGGAATTATTTTACTAAAGTGAATGAAATGAACATTAGGAGACAACCAGCTAGCTGTCACACTCCCTAAATCCAACCCCTTCGGTTCTTTGGTTCAGTACCACATTATCAAAGAGCCCTCCCTACCAGCCCTTCTATGCTGGCATTCCCTTTTGTAAATCTTCTTGCCCTTATGTAACCTTTTTTCTTTTCCATACTCAGCACTGTATGATACATGATTTTCTCTGTGAATATGTGTAAATATACACTATCATTTACCTATTTTTATATGAATTTGATTTCTGAACGTCCTACCCACTACAATTAGAGTAGGGAATTAGTTGGTGCCTTTTCCTGTCAGATAAGGTTGGTCAATGGAGAGCTCTCTGAAGAGAGAGTATTTGGAGGAAGAGTCAGCTAAACAGAAGTATAGGAGGAAAACTTTCCAGGTAGAGAGAACAGCTCAGTCAAAGGCCCAATGGGAGAAACACTCCTGCCGTATTCAGGGAAGTCATCCTGCATTTGGACACAGTAGGGCTGCGACATACTCAGGAGAACAGGAGAAGGTGAAATGGGAGCAACAGCCAGGTCTTTATGTAAGGTTTCACCTGTACCAAAGGCATAGGAAAGAGTTGCCAGTCCCTGGGCCATCTCAGCTGTTTTCCAGCTTTTGGGAAGGTCTGTTAAGAGCTACTCAGGAACTGCTAGCCACATGCTGTTGTAAAATGAAAATTTTGGTTCTCACACACTGCAAGTGTTCAACAGGCACTAACTGCTACCTTCGTAAGCGGTGCAGCTAGAGAACGTTCCATCCTTACAGAAATTTTGTAGGCAGTGCTGACCTAGGAAAGCCAATGGAAGGAGAAATAATGCCAAGTTTGCTTACTTCCTCTTTGTGATTTTCTCTCTTAGCTGTATTTTTTTTTAAGCTGGAATCAGTGTTTTTCTATTTAACTGGAAATATATGTGATGCCTAGAAAACTACCTGTGGCTTGTTACATATGTAAATGTTCTTGTGGATGATTTTTACATATGACAGAGAAGCTGGGAAGGACTGGTAAATCAGAAGCATTAACAATCACAATTCTTAACCTCATTATAAATACATTGCAAATGTAAAAATGCAAAATGTGGAAGCCATAAATGTGAAAGCTACTTTCAATTTGTTTTAATAGGTATTTTCTGTGTCTTATTATAACCCAGGGACCTTGCTGCAAGAAACTGCCTAGTAGGTGAAAATAATGTTCTGAAAATCAGTGACTTTGGAATGTCTCGTCAAGAGGAAGGTGGCGTGTATTCATCATCTGGCTTGAAGCAGATTCCTATTAAATGGACAGCACCCGAAGCTCTTAATTATGGTAAGAACGGATGTCTTTTCCTTTTTGTTGGTAAAAATGAACTGTATCAGCATGAAACAGTCACAAGCAATATTACAGTGTTAAGACTCCAAGTAAGGATGAGTGGAGGATGAACACAAATAATATATAACTGCTCGTCCTTTGATTAGATGTGAACACAAACTTAATTCATTGAAATTATTGGTCCAATTTTGGTCGTGGAATTGCTAGATGAAAAATGCAGACATAAGCACTTTTAAGTATGATATAGATTGCAGAGGTTCTTTTATCCAAAAATGATTATTTTAAGAGATGCCATATAAGTGAAAGTGTTGCTGCATCTCTTTGAATGTCATAATTGATCCAATAGCCTTATCTAATGTTGGACTTCTCCTTGATGTTGGACATCAAGTCACTCGATTCCTTAGTTTCTCATTCCAAAATCAAGTTTCTTAGCCTCGTAGTTTCTAGAACTTACATAAATCTTTAAGAAAGCAGAGTTGAGAGTTAAATTTTAAAACAGCAGGGATTTTTTCACTTGAACTTTGTGTGTCCTTGGAGGTGGAAGTAAGTATAGCTTGCATTATCTGTAGTTAGGATGAAATGGAACACAGAGCTAGGTAGCAGCTTACGAATTCAGAAAACACTGGAATGTGCTTTAAATGAAATTATAAATTACACTTTCATTAGCAGCAACAGCATATAAACCTAGGAGTTAATAAAAATATTATAAAAATGATACTTTGTGGGCTAAAAATGAAAAATTACCCCATCAAACTTACAAGGAATTTATAAATGCCTTAATTTAAGTGAAAGCCAAAGCTATTGAGGAATTGAGATAAAATCCACACAGGATGAAATTAACCATTTTAAAGTGAATAATTCAATGGCATTCAGTAACTTGTTAATCACAAGTTGGGCAACCAGTATCTACAACTAGTTTCAGGGTTTTTTTTCCCAGCATTCCAAAATAAAATTACCCGGTTAAACATTTTCTCTTCACTTGCCCACCAGCTACTGACAGCTACTAGTCTGCTTTTCGTTTTTTTGTGGATTTACCTCTTCTGGATGTTTCATGTACATAGGATTCTATATGTGGATTTTTTGTGTGTGGCTTCTCTCATTTACTATACTGTTTTCAAGGCTCATTCATATTGAGCATTATCAGTACTTGTTTCCCTTTTAAGACTGAATAATATTTCATTCTGTGGATGTACCACAGTTTGTTTATTCATGTATCCATTTTGTGTGTATTTGGGCAGTTTTCACATTTTGGCTGTTGTGAATAGTGCTACGTTGTGTTCAAGGGTTCACTGTATTCAATTATTTTTAGGTATATACTTAGACCCATATGGTGATTTTATCTTTGACTTTTTGAGTAATCACCAAATGTTTTCCAGATAAGGCTTCTGAATGTAATTGGTTTAGAAGGTGGTTAGGGTTAATTCACATGCCATAGGAATACTAGTTCACCCTTTGTCTTCCATGTACCACCAAAAGAGACTTCTGTGCATTTCCTACTGACTCCAAACCAATGTACATTCTAATCTGAAGACAGTGGCAGTCCTGCTAATTTCCATGGTGGTTCTTTTGTGGTATGGTTATTATTCTAGGGTTATATTACTGAAGGGAACAATCACAGGATAAAAGATGACAAAACATTTTTAAACGCAAAGGAAGCTGTAACTGGACTTGAAAGAGTCCCTAAAAATTTACCAGTAAAATACAGCTCTCTGGAATTTGTTAACCAGATTCACTACCTTGTACAGGTAGAAAAATCCTTTTGCTATTTTAAAGCAGTTTTACCTCTTGACTGCAGTATATTTTAGTTTAACTGAACCTGGCTAAAGTATTTACAAATTAAAGTTCTAACTTCAGATGCGTCTAACAGTCAGACCTAAATGCTTTTTAATAAAAACAAGGATGAAGTTTTCAATTTACAAAGAGACATTGTTTAGCCATCTTTAATACTAATTTTATAAGATGCAAAATAATTCAGATGAAAAAGAGGCAGATGAGGAACGAATTTGTAGTATTTATTATACAATCCAATGGAGAAATTCCTGAGTCTACAAGCCATAGGCCACTGTGAGAAATTTGTTAGTTCTTACAAACATTAACATACTAAAGACTGGATCTAAATCCTTTCATTTTTTTAAGTAAGAAAAAATATACATGTCTTTGAAAGTCCAGTTTCTTACTGTACTCTTTCATGTTTGATGGACACGTTTAACCTCATGTCCAAGAACCTTTTCCTCCCCAGTGATTCTTTTTTTCACTCTTACCTCCAGCTGTTCAAACACTGCCTAGATCTCCCATGCAGTGTGGTTTTAGGGTAGATGGGAAAAGCCTCCCATCAAAGGAGCCTCTCTACGCTGTGGATTAGGGCTATAGAATAAACTTCATTTGGTTAATGTTGTTAATTTTTGAAAATATAATACATATTCTTAAGAAAATTGGGCAATCCTAAAGTCCTACAATGTACCTCAGCTCTAGCCACATAATTTTCCTTCCCAGAGGCAAATATTCTTATCATATTCATCTTGTTTTCAAAGATTTTCCAGTTGTTTATGTGTGTGTATTTTCCCAACAATTGCTTTTTAATTCAGAATGCAAGCAGACTGACAAGTGTCACTAGCATCCTCAATCACAGCTTTCTCCAGTGGTGCTGTTTGTCCAGGGCAAAAATGATTCTCATCTCCACCTAAGAAATAAAATTGTATTTGTCAGTTGTTGAAATCTTTGCACTTGCAACCTAGTTGTCTGAACCACTGTAATCTCTGATTTAAGTAGTGGAATATAACAGGTATACACTGAAATGCAAGAGAGGCAGGACTTTAGTCGACAGTCCAGAATCAGGTATGTCCTTAGCTGCAGGCCATGGGAAGTCATCTCCACATTCTCTGCCTGTCCCCTCTAACTTGTAAGATGATGGTGATAATACCTTCTATCTGCAAGAGTATTATGAGAGTGAAACAAGAGAGAGAAGAACCACAAAATCCTATACTCTACATTATGACTTGTCTTGGCTTGCTAAAATTATTCAGCAAAGTCAAGTTCACAAGTCAGAATTAGAGTTGTTATAAATTTCACTTCTGGAGTGTGATTTTGATTTACATATAATGTTCCTTTCTTCTTCTCTGCCTAGATATTATCTACAAAATAAGATATTAACTCTAGATAGCTTTAAAAAGAAATTAGTCTTAACTTGTAGCCACTGAATGACTTTCATCTAAAGTATTAAATTATTAGATGCCAAACATGAAAAGCACTGATATGCAAAGAAGGAAACTAATCTTCCATGAAGCAGCACAGTGAATGTCCTTAATTACTCTCTACTAAGAAGGGAGCTGCTTCACACAGCCGGATCTGATCATCAGTAAACACACTGCAGACTTAGAATAGTTACCACAGCACAGACACACTCTCCTTTTCATTCTACTTTCTTGAAAACAAAAATGGTCTTCTATTTTAAAGCAGCATGGTGTTTTTAGAGGAGGGACGTTTTTAAATGCTGAAATGACAGAGTTAAGGCAAGAAGCTACAAGAGGCATAGAAATTGAAATCATTTAAGAAAACTTTATGATTACAAATGAAATGTAGTTGTGTGTGTCCTGTACATCAGTTAAATAAAAACAAATTGGAAGAATTTTGGAAATCCTTCTTCTGGGAACTGGAAAGAATTTTTCTACTACCCCTCCTTGATATCACATCATCTCCTAAAGACATTTGATTTTTATCTCTTTTCTTCTGAAGGCTATCAAAAACAATGAATTTTAAGAGTTTAGCTCATATAGCTCAATAAAACAGGTGCACCAAGATATTTTGACAAAACAAGACACCATGTAATTTGAAGAAATTGTTTCATCAGCTAGCTATGTTAATTTCTACTTTATTCAAAGCACAAAGAAAAATGTATGTTCCATAAATGAAACTATCAATGGAGAAAATGAAACCTTTAAGCATGTAAGAATATCTGTAAACAGTGAAATGCAAAAAAAAAAAAAATTGAAGTTAAGAAACTTTCCTATTGCTATAAGTTTGTTTGTAAATTTAGTGGAAAGAAAACAATGCAGGCAGAAAACAGAATTGCATGAATTCAATCTATTTAATCTTCTAAGCATTGATATATACAAGTTTGTTTTCTATAATAAAATCACTCATCTCATTCAGATACCATAGGGAGGTAAGGTGGTATGCTTGCTGAATATCTGTTCTTTTGGTAGGGTGGAGGGTGATTTCATAGCTGGCTTGATTAAACCAACAGCCTGGTGATTGTTCACTTAATTGGTAACATTTCTGGTCCTAAATTTAAAACCAGTAAAGAAAATAGGACAATTGGCCATTGGCTTCCTAGGAAATCCTTGAAAACAAGATAAATGTGTGCTCATGTGATAAACAGAAACAGTCACTGCTATGTCTCACGTAGTTCCGGCTGTTGTTCCCCTTGCAGGGAGATACAGTTCTGAAAGTGACGTGTGGAGCTTTGGCATCTTCCTCTGGGAGACCTTCAGCTTAGGGATCTGTCCATACCCTGGAATGACAAACCAGCAAGCGCGAGAGCAAGTGGAGAGAGGTGAGCAAAGATGTGGGTGGGCATCCACTGGCTAGGTTGGCAGGGCATCAGATGCTACCGATGCTGTCAGGGTACAGAAGGAGAGCAGAGATGTGAGGTGCATCCAGTCTGCTTTTGAAACCCTTGGGTGGTGTGGCTGTTACTCTGTTGCAATGTGAGACCTTGCCAGCCTCCAGAATGAATCATTACTCAAAGATGAAACAGCCTCTCTGGGCCCTGTGTGGTTGACTATCTCAACTGAGAGTGCTCAGCATTAAGGAGAATCGCAGAAGCAGCCCTGAAGCCAAGAGCTCTACAGATTTTACTTAGAATACCAGTCAGTGTAAGAGGAAGAGCAGAACAAAACCAATTTGAGCAAGGACCTGTCTCAAGGCTGGGCAGTTTTTGTTGGGGAAGGGAAAGAGCAATGGCCAGACACAGCATGCCTCTCAAGTTAAACTTCTTGTAGTCTAACATGTCCCCCATGTACAGTGAACACAAGTACTTTAAAGGATCACAATACACTGGAAATGGAGAGAGCCAGGCTTTCCTTGCATCTCTTCCCTGCCTAGCAGGATAGCTGCAGTGTCGTGCCACTCACTGTCTTCAAGGGCAACAGGATAGTGTTCCTCAACCTCCTCCTGCTTCTTCCAAACCAAATCAACCCTTAGCAGTACTGCTGACCGAAATGCTCTTAGTCTCAGGAATAACACTTATGAAGAAACCCTGTGTCACCCTCCACCCAGGGCCACCCCTCCATTCTGTTGTTCTAAGAGAAGCAGAAATAAAAGAACAGAGGTCCAAAAAAATGTCTTATAGCACCAGGCCAGGGAACATACTTACTAGAGTACTCCCAGATCCGAGATGGGAATAAATAGGTAATGATCACATTGTTTCATTGGTCCACAGATTGAGCCAAAAGATCGCTCTTGATAAATAGTGGAGCCCTAGCTGGTATCCAAGGGAGCCAGGGTTATGATGGTAGAATTAACTGGGTGTAGGACAATGCTTTTCTAACCTCCTTCCTACCTCTCCTATATAACCTCTTCCTAACCAGATGTACACACCACCCAGCACATGACTGGGACCCTGCCAGACAGCCGCTTATAAAAAAATATGACTCATACTCATTTTCATCTCACTATTGAATGAGTGTTTATAAAATCCTTATCTGTCTTTATCCTCAAAAACATAAGTTGTAGAGACGGTTTTTTAAGACTGCCCACAAATTATAATTCTAGAAGCAAATACAGCAACTAAAATATTCATTTGTATATGCATATCATACTTCAGTCTTTCTGACAAATGAATGAAAAATATGTTTTTTGGATTAGGTGATGGCTCTAATATTAAATTCCAAAGCACCTACAGGAAAGAGTTTTGAGCCTTAAAATCTATTTTTATTTGTATTATACTTACAACATAAGGCACTAAATTTTATCAACTGCAAACATTTATAGCTTATCTGCATTCTAAAGCCTCTGTTATTCTCTTGGGTCTTCAGGATACCGGATGGCAGCCCCTCAGCACTGTCCAGAAGATATCGCTAAAATTATGATGAAGTGTTGGGATTATAAGCCTGAAAATCGCCCTAAATTCAGTGAGCTTCTGAGAGAGCTCGATATCATCAAGAAGAAAATCACATAGTCACAGAAGCATGCCACGCTTGCCTTCAGGACCCTGTCCAGCAGAACAATACTGTTGTTCTCATTAACAATGAGCTTATACCACATTACCTGCAGCCATCTTCTAAGGTTATTTTTTTATTAACTGGGGTTTTTAAAAATATGTTCCACTTTAAAATATGTCAATCAAATTTATTCAAGAAATAGTCCTACCAAGGGCTTTATGAATAATACTGCCATTTCAGGCCATTGTAAATAAGAAAGCACAGGCTCTAAATGTGTGAAAGAATTTTTAAAAATCTGTCTTTGTAACATGTAGGGCCACTGATGTTTCTCAAAGGTTTTCTACTTCAGGCACAGTTCACAGGCTGCTGTCTTTGCCATAGACCTACTCAGTTGGTGCTATAAACTGCATTGGTAATATATGTTTGCAGGATACATTCCAACCACAGGGCTTTCTACTCTGCCAAGGGATCATACCTTTGAATATAACCTTATTATAATCTTGTGTTGGGAATTACTTGGATCTCCAAAGGTTTTTCTTTTCTTTTTTAACCAGAAAAAAACTCAGTAAGAGCTATCTTGCTCTTGCATTATTAAAGTTGTTGTTTTCCTCCTCCTCAGTCTGAGCATCAGAAAATGATGCATGCAGTATCCCCAAAGAACATGTGGTTAGTGTTTAGGCAGCTGCTTTTAAAGGATGTTACAGAGAGCTGGACAGCAAGAACCAGATGTGACCAGGTGGGCCATCTGGGAGAAAAAAGACAGCTAGCATGCTCATCAGAGTAGAGAACAGAGACGTAAAATCTGCCTTCTTATCAGACATGTTCCTTTGTAAACACATACACATCCACCTATCCCTTTTATGTTTTCTACATTCATCCAAAAGGTCTGAAGGGATGTTCCATGATTTCATGGATCCCTTTTAATGGCAACAACAACGAAAAATTCTTTCAGAAACACTACAATATACAATTCACAGAAATAACGATGTATTTCTAGTTGAGTATCTTCATTTTAGAGGAAGTACCCTAGAGTGTAATTCCCTTCATTTGTACCAGTTTTCAGAGCTATCATTCCTGACTTTTGTTCATAAACACATTCATGTGCACCGGCACACACACACACCTGAAGAGCAAGGCAGGAGCCTCTGAAATAGAAGGTTCAGAAGTCAAGTAAATGTTAACGAGAACAAGACCTGGGGATGGCCCTCCTGCTTCCACATTTCCCCTTCATTTGCCCTTACACTGCTCCCTGGAAGTCTTTATCAATAGCTGACAGGTCTTCAGGCACAGTGCTTATGATGTTTTATATAGATAAAATGTAACACAGAGTTGAAACTAGGATTCTGTTGTGCTAAATCTTAGTTGCATGCAAGGAGTTCCCATGACCATATACAGTCGCCTCTCAGGATAAATGCATGTGCAGGACATGGTCATGCTCAGGGGTAACTGTGGCCTGAAAGCCTTTTTTAAGTGCTCGGGCCTGTGCCCACGTAAGCATCACTTTGGGGATGATTTGTCTGTGTCACTGGAAAAGCTTAAGGGACAGAAAATTCCTCTGCCTTCTCCAGGTATTTGCTGCATGTGAGTATCATTGTGCAGAACTCGCACCACTCATTAAGGGTATAGATGGGGATACCGAAGAGAAAAATGGCTTGTGTTTCTCATTTCAATCTCTGCAAATTTTGTACACATTTACTGATTAATGCATTCAGACTAAAATGAAAACATAATAAACTTGTCATCAAAAGTATATTACAACATATAAAGCAACTTCTTTTTAATCAGCCTGGTTCTCCCTCAGGTCAAGTATTGTAAAGAAGAGGAAGTATTTTGATGGCATGCACCATCGTAAATCAAAGCACAGACTCATGAATTAAGATTGTCAGCTTTCAAATGTAAAAGTAGAAGAGTTCTGTTTCTTTCAGTGTTTCCAGGTGAATCTGTTTGTAGTGTTCCTTATTTGCTAAAAAGATAAAAAAGAAAGCGTCTCATCACTTAGCAGCCTTGGCACTAAGCTCTTATCGTAGAAAGAGAATGATGGTTTGGGCTTTAATTTTGTGAACAAGACCTGAAGCTTAATCCTTGCATTCTGGTATAAAGAGTGAACGTGGCATTGATATTTCACTCATCCAGGCTATTAGAATTTGCAATTCACATCATAACTCTGTGCTTAAATTAAAAAAGCTTTTCAAAAACATCATGACATCTGCAGCATTTAAATTCTATTTTATTCTTTGTCCCAAAGCAAGCAGTGGTACAGTTCAAGATTAATAACTCATTGGGAGTCTTTTGGGATCGTATCAGTTTTATGGAATATTAAATTTAATATAGGCACATGCATTAAGAAAGGCTTATGCAAACCATTTTTAGTGTTAATTTTGTCATGCTTGAAGCATAATTTATTCATCCCTTCTGTCACTGATAATTATTGGAATTATGTACTTTAGGAAGCTAATCCATGCCCAAAAAGCACACATGTAAATACTAATTTGAATTTGCAATTGATGTAGGAAAAGGAGGCTTCAGAACTGCACAAAATCCTGTGACTTGTTTGGTAAGAAAACAATTGCAACCAACCAAATTGCCACCAATCTGGATGTAATTAAGTCCAGTCACAAATCTTTGTGTTATTAATGGATTATCCAAGAGTTGCATGTATCACTAAGGCACAGCTCCCCTCATAATTCCTTGAATTAATGGCAGGGGAACTAAGGCAGTCTGACTTCTCCTGCATTTTTCTACCTTGACTCACCCAGGAGCCTTTATGAAACATACTTAGGTAGTGCATCATTTTTTTCAGGGAAATAACTTTTTAAATCAATTTTTTATTCTATGTAATCTAAGGTAACTTATCAAAGTCAACATACTCTTTTCCCAGAAATGTAATAAAAAACATTTCAGGTCTTATTTAAATTTTCAGAAACTGAGGCTGTATTTCAGCTCATCCTGCTACAAGGTCCCCCTGGAAAGTCTCATGTAATTATCTCTCTTATCTCCCAAATTTGACATGGGTAATAAAGTTCCCCATCCATGTTTGACCATTGTCTCACAAATACAGTGTCGGAGAAATATTTACTAGCAGATCAGTGTAACCCAAAAGCCTAATTGTTTTAAGTATCAGTAAGCACATTTCACAGTTGTTTTTTACCATAGGTTTATTTTGGAAAGAAACCAAAATGCCTTGTCGTTGAAATAGTTTTAATTTTAAGTAACAGTATGATTTTCCTGTCTGCTTCTATTTTATCATACAATTTTAAGAAATTTAGTTAGTGCCACTCAAATATCTTTTATAATGCTGGTGTGAAGATGTGTCAAGAACAAAATGCTTTAGTTATAAAATGTGCCACCCACTGAGGAACTTGTAGCGGGATAAACAAAACTCAGAATGGACAAATATGTCTCTGAATTGTACATCAATGTTGTTCAGAGTTATCTCAGCTGGACCACTTCATAATTTTTGTGAGTCATTAGATATTTTAGAAGTGTTACCTGGTATTCTATTTTGTATACTGTTTTGTGGCCATCTGTCATTTGAAGTGAAATTAATTGGTGTCTTCTGAAAAGGGCTTGTTTGCCTCAGCGCCTTACCTTTTACACACACTTCTTTTATGTACTGCTGACATTTCAGATGTTTCCTAACAGAACTGGCTGCCTACTAGTAGTGTTCTGGGTTACAGAAAGACTTTCATGTTTGGAGGTCAGGACCCTCGCATAAAACATGGTTCTGCAAACTAAACAGAACAACAAAGAGAAGAGATTGAAAGACATGTTTTCTTTATGTATTAATATCTTAAATGGAATCAAAGATTTTATATGAAAGTAAGTTTATGTTTCCACTTTATTAAGTTAGCATGAAAGTTTACCATTAAAGTGTTACCTCTTCTATTACTGATTTGCTTACACATACTAGAATTGTTTTATTAAATATTTTAATTTATTTTTCTCTGACTGGATTAGTTTCATATCAACTCTGAACACTACATTTGAGAGAATTCAGAACTACATATTTATTTTGCAAAGGAAGACAACTAGTTTTAAAAGTCAAGATTTCTTGTACCAAGATTACCTACTTGAAGGAATTATTGGTACAAATTTAAAGTCTCATAAAATTCTCATTTAAAAAATGATGCTTTTACAGAAAGTGTAAACTCTATAGCATAGCCATAATTCAACTTTAAACATTTAGTACCTTCTGAAAATCATCCTGCTGCCTCATACTGATTCAGAGATTAAATTCTGAGTTGTTAGAAGTGTAAATGCCTACACAAGAATCATTTAGCTGCCTAATAAGGACTGAGATTCCTCAACAGTAGAGATGTCCTGCTATGCTAAACTCTTAGTCACTTTAAACTGCACAAGAGGAATGCACCTGGGCCTCAGTGTACGTGTTAATGAGATACTGAGGCAAGCTTGCACGTGGCAAAAGAGGGAAGAACTAGTTATTCTAAGCAAGATGGGGCAGCCTACAGAGAAGGTGGGAAGATTAAAGTGGAACAAAGATTTGGACAGTGTCACTTTGAAGCCAGAGGAAAACAGTGCTATGAGGCCACATCCTTTCCTACAAAAAATAAGATCCCTGGAGCCAAAAGAGGCAAAATGTCACCTGCCAGTCAGTGTGTAGCCCTTTTCTTGCACTGACCAAAACCCTGTTCCTTGCATCAGGAGCAGCTCAGAGATACTGCTGCTCTGGGGGACATTTCCACTCATCATCCTCCACTTACATGTTCAAACTTTTTTCAAACTCTTTACACTTGCATTAATTATATTTACTAGTTCTTAAACCAAGATACCTGGTTATTCATACTTTACTAGAAATCTTTGTTTAGAGTGAACTTAATGTGGACTAAAGTCTTCTGTTTGAAAAGTCGCACTTTGCATTTTGACTGTTGACCAAATGGTTCCTCCTAGTTACCCACAGCGGGACTTTACAGTGTGGAGGTCTACTCTAATAAAACAGAATTCAGCAGGGAATAGGAAAATACAAATTAAGTGTACCTAATTGAGGTTACATTTGAGGGAAAGAAATCTTAGAAACATCCTACAGCCAATTGGAAGACAGCACAGCTAGGTAAGACCCAGGACAGAGGAAGGATGGGAGATGAAAGCCTAACAGCACCAGGGCAGAATGGTGCAGGGCTGACCTGCCCACAGAAGCATGCAGTACTTACTAACGGGAGCTGCTTCTCAGAAGGGCATTTGAGGAGCTTCGTGCGTGCTATTAAGGATTGCATGCCTCTCAGTTCTCTGCAGTACTTTCCCAAAGGGCACTACACTGGATATGGGTTTGGTTTCCTTATGCTCCCTCTCATCTCTGTAAGCAGCCGCTGTTGCATGAGTGGCCTTTGCTCTGTTTTTCTGTAAGGTTGCAGTGATGGTGATGCAGCCCTTCCTCAGTTAAATGGTAGCTGAGTACACATTATGTGTAGGGTGGCCAGTACTGCAAGAAAACTGTGAATATTCTTATTTTTCATTTATTACTGGTATATCTTGTAGTATAACACATTTAGTTACTCTCTTGCCAGCAAACTTGTAAGGACCCCAAATGAAAATATTTGAGATTCATTCTAAATTCAGTCTTAAGTTTCTAAACTAGCTTTCCAGTCATGATCATTGGAACCAGCAAGATGCAAAGTAATAAAGTTTTAGGTGATAAAAATGACTCTGGTAGCAGAATTTTATATTTTCCTTCAGTTTTATTTATTCATGTCAGGTACACAGAACACTGGAAGAGCTCATTTTTCTGGTATTTATTTTTTACTTCTGGTTATTATTTCCTTCCTTCATCTTCAGTTTCCTGATCTTTTGTTTTAAACAAACAAAAAGGTTATCAGCAGCTTGTATTGAATAACATCATAAGTAGCCCTAACTAAAGTTTCCTCTCCTTAGGCGCTCAGGGCCCCTGCCTTACAGGACCGCTCAGGCACCCACTCACCGAGGCTGCCTGTGCACTCAGTAAGTGACCACCTTCTTGTTTTACACAGCTGAGCGTGCAAAGATCTGGTTGTAGCCCTTGCTGCAGAGATAGCATGAGTGGGTGGCAGGTTTGTTACATGAATGGCATTGTTAGTGGAGGCTTTGAGACATGCAAGGCTACTCTGAAGATGTGTCCAGGGGGGCAGCCTGTTGTCCTGTTAAACTGGTCAGGTGACTTTCTACCCATCCCAAAGCAGTCCTGAAACACTAATTACCTTCACTCCCTGGTCAGATTCAGTTTTTTTCCATTTCATTATTTTATGCCAATTTTTTTATTAATTCCTTCACTTTCCTATAAGCAAATGTCTGAAAGTATTTCATTTATGCAGTATTCATAGCTTCAATAAAAACAGCAAATACAAAATCTTAAATCTCAGACAAGCCAATCTACCATAATCTGAAGACCCCAGAGCAATACTGCATTACTTCATCAGCTCTACAGTTCCCCAAAACAGAGCCTTCCTAAAAAACCAAACATCACATTTTTTACTTATGTGTAGGGAATGTTTTTAGTACTGGAATAAGGGCCTTCTAAATGCCCCCCAAAGCAGATTGTCAAATAACAGTGAGAAGCCAGATTTCAAACTATAAGCATCAAAGCAGACAGCAGAAACACCACTTTCCCCTTTCTGTCAGTTAAAATGCCCCTGCAGAAACTACCACTTAAGCAGCTCACCCAGGCATACGACATCAGACTGTATTTTAAAAGCGCAGGTCAGATACCAATGGGCTGCATCAGACAGGATAGATATAAAATGGCACTAAGAAGGAAATCCCCACACCACATTGGAGCGACAAAAATATGAATACAAAAAAAAAATTATGTGATTCCAAACTCACTAGTATTTTCTTCATGTAGCACTTGTCAAATAATACAACCTCGAAGTCTCATGTGAGTAGTCTGAACAATCTTCAAAGGGAAAAAAGCTTCATCCCCCACCTCCAGTTGAGGCCCACGTGTTTAAATGCCCTGAATTCAAAATCTTAAGAGTCTGAGAGGAAATTTGGGATGTATATTCTACGTGAAAAAATTACCCTGGCAGTCTTTGCCAGATTACCAGTCCATGCTGTTTTTGTAAATCCTGAAAGGGGAAAAAAAGTCAGACATCTTCTTACATAGGAATTTTCCTCTTACAAATTACTTAACTTTTGTAGAAATAGATTTACCTTCCTGCTCTTAAGAAATGCCAGACTAGTATACAAAAACAGAGGGTGAGGTGCCCAGAACCATGGTTGACATACCTATGAATGTTTTCTCCTAACCCAGAGTGCAGCAGGTTTTGTATTTAGGGTATTGGGTGCGGTGGAGACCCCATCCCTGCCAGGCAGAATCGCTCTCCAGCTGCAGTTAGAAGACTGAATCCACCAAAGGTCTCATCCCAACAACAGGGATTGTCATAATTCCTCCTGAGATTCTAGACCTTTCACATCTGCAGCATATAGGATAGATACACATTCCAAAGGAATTCACTAGTTTTGTCTTTAGTTTCAAAAAGATTGAGTCCATGAAGATTCACTGCATTTCCTTCAAGAATATTTTATAGATTCTAAATTCAATCCTAAACACAGATTCTGAGAATCAAATAAAAATCAAAGATACAGGGGAACTTCATTCTCATAACTAAAATGGCCAAAGAAGAAAAACTCCTATTATTCTGTGTTCACTTGAACATTTCACTTTGCTAAACAACATGTTAGCTATCCAATTTCATCCTGTCAAGGTGGAATGATGACAGGAGCATAGAACCAATGGGCCATTTCTAGTACTTATTCTCCTTCATAAACCATTGAGATTTCTCATAAGAAATGGCTTCTTTAGTAAGACACCTGTAGGTTTTATGTTTATGTCTAAACATAACAATTTAGATGGCCTCACTGAGCAGCTGAGTAAAGCGGGGATTGGTGGTGCGTACTCTGCTGACTTTATGTTACCATTTGTACTTTTTGGTTTGGTTTGGTCTGGCTTCTGGTAAGGGCCCTAAAAGAGTAGAAGACTCTCAGGTCATTTTTTTTGTGATTACAAATGGTTAAGAAAAGCAAAGTCTGATAAATACAAGAGAAGTTAATGAAGTTGTCCAAGTCCCATGAACAGCTCGAACTTGTTTAGGAGCCTTGACAAATTGAAAGCAAAGTCAAGACATACAAATGGTGCCTATCGTGTGACTGTGGGAAGGCACTACCGTTTTCCTAGTACAGGCCCACAGCACGTGGCTATGAAATACGACTTTTCCAATTTCTGACTCTTCCCTTTCCTAGAAGGTGAACTTAGGGTGATGAAGAGGGAGGGGGGCCTGTTCCCGGGTATGTCCCATCTGCAGGCAGCCTGGTGAGCAAAGCACTCCTGTGACCAACAAAGTTTTCTTTTAGTGCCAGTGTGTGGTCATTTAATGTCATGTTGAAGCACCTTTAATCTTTTTTTGTTGTTTTAAAATAATATATTTGTTAAGTAGATAAAAGAAACACTGGAAAATTGGGTGCTTCTTCTAGAAAGTTCAAGTATAAAACATACAAACATCATCTGAGTTTATCTGGCTTTGTAAACAAGTCTGAAAGTGAAAGCTAACTATGTAAAGCAGGTATCTGTCTTTTATCAGTTTTTAACTGAGACCTGTATTTAACATTTATTTATTAGTTTTTACATTGAGAAAAATTCCACTTTGGATTTTGGCTAACATTGTAGGATGTTTAATTGCTTCCCCCATTTTTAAAATATGACTTCATCACTTTTGTAAACTTAGACCATTTTTGAATAGCCTCCTTTTCCAATAGACCGATCACCACTCATGAGTCTGCAGAACCTCTTTTTTTGTATTCTTATAATAAATGTAAAATATTTGTAGCAAATTGTGCCTTGTCTTGTTTAATCTTTCTGTCGTGTTTATACTCCTCTTCCTTTTCTGTATAAATATGCTCTAAGAAGACAAAAGGGAAAGTGAGATTTCCATGGTAACTAGCCTCTTAGGGATAAAACATAGAAATTATTAGCTTTCAGTTTCACTGTAATTAAGCTTATGAATTCTGATGAAAATGGTGTGTGTTGCTTATAGCCCAATCATTAATTTCTCTGTTTAAACATCAGAACTGAAATGGAGTTCAAGTTTCAGTTCTCAGTCTGAGTTGGCTATTTGCCAGGATTTTTATACTTTTTTGTTTGGTTAGTTTTGTTTTTCATAACAGGATTTGTTTAGCTGTAGCACAATGATTTGGGGGAGAAAGGTGCCTGAGAGGGATGTTTGGAAAGGAGCTGAAACCTGCCACTGTGAAGCAGTTCAGCTGTGCAGCCCTGCCTGCCTTGAGTACAGGCTGAAGTGGTCACAGAGCCAGGATGCTTAACTTCCACGTACGCTTCACTCAGCAAATCGGAACCCTTCCAAACTACAACCTGCTACTTATACAGGTTCTGAAAAAAGGGCACCAGATTTTGCCCATTCCTGTGCTTTCCCTGTCCTAACCAAATCTTCTCAGCCCTAGTCTTGGCTTAGAGGAGTCCGCCCTCGTGGCTTCTCAAAGACGTGTGTAGTGTTTGTGTGGCAGCCCACAAGCTTCTCAAGATATGAGAGATGAACCTGTTCACTCCTCCTTGAGCTTCCTGCTTCCTAAACGCCCTGCCCAGAGATGTGTGTTTCTGGGCTCTTGGTGAAAAGTCTCACCATTGCTCTTAGCTGTCGAGGTTGCATCCTTTTCAGCAGGTTTGATTACTGACCCAGCATCCTTGACCACCTGTGCTTTTATTGAACTTAAGTTAATTAGACCAGATGCATGCATTATCAAGGAAGTTTCACTGTCTGACTGAAATCCTATTCCCTAGAATGAATGAACAGCATTCTTGAAATACCCTGGAGCTCCTATGGTAAGTCTGCATTTCACTGTAATTTCCCCCTCTAGCGATAACTAACCAGGCATATGGGGGTGACATTGCTGTAGAAAACAGAGATAGGAATTAGTTTGTTTTAGAAGCATCAGTGGTTACTCTTTAATTGAAAGCTGAGACTAATGAAGTGCTTCTCAAACTCCCCAAATCTGTTACAACTGGGCTGGCCAACACACCTAGGTCAAACTCTTGTTATCACACAAGGTTCCAGAGTCATCTGGTGTTGAAACAAGCACTGGGAGGCTGGGAAACTCTGCCCTCATCTCTGGTTGATTCTCACTAGTTTATAGATTCAAGCAGTGTCATTATCCTGGCCACAATTTCCTTACTAGCAATAAATGTTTTCCGGGGTAGGGGTCGTTCTCCATCCTCCTTAAAAGCATCCTGATTTTAGGGAGATTTCCACTAAAGTGCTGATGGAAAAGTAATTCCAGTTGCCCACCTGCCATTACAGAGGCCAAAGAATCCATAATTTTTTTTTAATCTAAATGGATCCTTTCTCCCAAGACCAAGTCTTGAAGGACAGAGTATGGCTAAGGCATTCATCAAACAGAGTCCATTGCTTCTCTGAGAGTGCTGCTCTAACTCCTGCTTCCAGCTCTCTGAAGAACCTGGGTTTCTTTGTATTCCCAGGCCATGTTATTTAGTCTTCCATTAACTTTAGGAACCTCTCCTTTTGGCCTTGTAGATAATTCCTCTTTTTGCTGAGTCATCCATGGTCTATTTCTGTTGCCTGCACCCAATTATGATGTCTAACGACCCTTCCAGTTCTGAGATTTTGTGATTGCCCTTCTCAGGTCATTTTGGAACACCTGGACCAGTGCTATGCAGGCTGGATTCTGTTCCTTCCCTTACTATAGTGGTGTATTAGTCAACTTTTTATTACTGTGACAAAATAGCTGAGATAATCAACTTAAAAGGAAAAAAAAGGTTTATTTTGGCTCACAGTTTCAGAAGTTATAGTCTGTGCTCTCTTGGCCCCACTGCTTTGGCATGCGGTAGCACAGTACATCATGGTGACAGCATGTGATTGTGGATCCCTGTTCTCATGGTGACCAGAAAGCAGAAACAGAAGAGGGGATGGGGTCCTGATACCTCCTTCAAAGGCATGACCCAGTGAGTTGACATCCTTCCGGGATGTCCTGTCTTCTAAAGGTTCCACCACCTCCAAACAGCACCACAAGCTGGGAACCAAACCTTCAAGATGGACCTTGGGGGACATTTAAGACCTAAACTATAGCAATTGGGCTTTTGAAATTCAAGAGTGATTAGAAAAAGGAAGGCTCCCTAAAGGTTCCATCATCTAATGTGCTGCTGAGTATCTGCACCAAGCCTTTTAATGTTTCCCCAGCTCAGGGCTTGAGTAATTCAAAATTATAAATGTTTCTTTTGCAGTCTCTCTGTGGTGATCCATGGCACTATAGGATAGTTAAGTGATAAGGTCAATGGACTACTATTATGAGAGGCTAATTGATCTAGCACAGCAATATAAATACCAAAATTAATAGAAAAATAAATGTCACGGGAAGCTGAAGTATATTGACAGCCTTAAAAGCTACTCTCCTCTAGACTTCTCCTCCTCCTCCCAGTTTCAGTAGTGTTTAGTCTCACCACATTCAGAAGGGCCTTCCCCTTTCTTGAAAAAAAGCACACCAAATATTCCCATCTAGACTTGAGAACAAGCCGATAAATAATTCCAGCCAGTTGGATCTTTATCCCAGGCTAATTTTCCAAGCAGCCGTTGGAAGCCCATCCATCTGCCTCCCCTTCTCCACCTGTCTTCCTGCCAGGTGTTGAGCTGTCATAACACAGTGTTGTGACACAAAGTTGTGGCACGGTGGGACCCTGAGGGACACCAGCCAGCCCTACTCCAGGAACCAGGTTTCTCCACCCCCAGGCATGCACAGCTCTTTACTCCAAGGAAAAGCAAAGAGGGCTCCACACTTTACTGCTATAGTTCAGCTTTCACTTCTCAGTCCAACCAAGGAGGGGGAGCTCCAGCCAGCTTAGCCCTTAAGTTGTGTAATGGTTTTGTTTCAATAGAAGTCCAGCCTTGCCTATTTGTATTGCCAATGCATGCAGAAACTTAGAAAAGGGAAGACTTAGAGATTTATCTTATAATTCTGTAAGACCACTTACAATATTAAGTATCATGGTCTAGATCTGAAATGTACCCCCAAAGTGTCACATGTTGGGGAGGGGGTCATGGGGGCACTACACTCATTGATGAGTTCATAGCTGAATGTGCTGTTAGGAGGTGGGGCCCAGTTGGAGGGTGTGGGGCATTGAGGGCCTGCTGTTAGAGGGTCCCCTTCCTCCCCCTCCCACTCTTTCCTCCTATCCCTCCTCTCCTTCCTGGCAGCCATCAATTGAGCATTTTTTCCCTACTAGGACTTTACACCATACTGTTTCTGCCTTAGCGCCAATTAACTGTGGATTGAACCCTCTCAAACAGTGTGGCAAAATAAACCTCTTTAAAAAATTACGCTGTGTTACACATATTTATCAAGTGCCCTGTGATAAATGTAATCATTCTATAATGCAAATATGCACAAATAATATAAATTTTTAAAATAAGCTTTTACCGTGATAGAAAACTTAATAAGCATATAGTAAAAGAGTAAAATTAGAAATAAAATCCAGTTATAAAGGGCAGGAGCAAGAAAGGAAACCAGATACCTGAAACTTGTTCATTATTACAATCAGGCAATAAATTCCCTTAATTTCTTGACAACCAAGCTATAAAACATTAAAGACTAAAAATTCATGAACTAAGCCTTCAACCTAATTGAGTAAAAAAAAAAAAAAAAAGTGACTGGGAGGGCAAACCATGGCCCGGAAAATGGCAGACAGAAAGATCTCGGGGAGAGGAGAACCCGGGAAGCCAGGGTGAGCTGGAGCCACGGAGGACCTGAAACAGCAACAGAAAAACCTGTGAAAACAAAGCACTACGTCTTCCAGAAATGGAGGGGAAATTCCTGTCACAGCACTGAGACACCATCAGCCAAAGAAGGCACTGAAGATCCCCCAACAAAGCCTACAAAGATCTCCAAGTCTGAATTTTCCATAGGCAACCTCTAAATCTTGCCCCAGGGGCAGTGTAAAAGTTTCCTCCTGGACAAATTTTAAAGGAACAGTGGAGTGTTTTATTTCCAATAAGCTGGTAAATCTGACATATAACTCACACAGAGAAATAATCTGAAAGATCAATAAAGCCAAGAACTGGTTCTCTAAAATCCTCTAATTAGACTCAGCAAGAGAATAAAACATATTACATTGAAAAAGTAGATATAAATACAGAAAAGCAGTGACTGAAAAGGTGACTACTGTGAGCTCTACACTAATATGAAAAACTAAAAAAATTCACAAATTCTGAGACAAATACTAATGTACCAAGCAAACTCAAGAAGAAAGAAACATTAATAAGTCTATAACCATTAAAGAATTAAACTTGGAAATTTCAAATCTTCCCACATATTTATATCAATGACTTAGAGGCTTATTTCATGCATAAAACTGTGCACAAATGTTCATAGCAGCCTTTTTCACTGTAACCCCAAACTGAAAACTACCTAAACATTCTTCAGCAGGTCAATCATTCAGCAAACCATGGTACATCCACACCCATCCATACCATGAACTCATCAACTCAAAGGAGTAAACTACTGATAGCAGAATTTGCGTTAACATCAAGAAAATTGTCCTCAATGAAAAAGTAAATCTCAAAGAGATACATACAGTTGATTTCACTTGGGTGACATTCATGAAATAACAGGCATTGAGAATAGGTCAGTGACTCTCAGGATCTAGGGATGGGACGAAGGGGTTGGTGAGGTGACACAAGCGTAACACAGGAGCCTTGTAGCAATGGTATGTTTTAGGATCATAATTATGACGGTTCCACAGAGTTGCACACATGGTAAAATTGCACAGAACACACACACAAATACATGACTGAGTGTACATATAACTG